GGTCGCGCTGTGCCCGCCGGGAGCCCGAGTCTGGACCCGGGGGGAGGGGGCGGCGACAGTAGCACTCACCGTTCGCGGGGTGGCGCCTGGTGGTCCCCGGAGGGGAGGGAGAGGGAAGGAGGGGTGAGGACGGTGACCAGAGTCTTCCCGCTGGAGGCGTTTCTGCTTTGCAGCAGCCGCGCTGGCGCCAAAATCGGGCTCCGCCCACCTCCTCGCTTCTGGGGGTGGGTGCCTCCAAACGTTGGCGGGGGCGGGGGGTGTGTGTGAAGTAAAACTTAGCTGGGGAAGAATCGAGAAATAAGAACGAGTTCCTCTTTAGGCCCATTCTCTCCAGAAACCTTTCCTGAGCCGGAGGGAAAGATGTTGGTCAGAGTTAGGTCGGCGGAGCGTGAAGTGTAATTTGACTAGAAATTGCTTCGGGTGTTCCCGGAAGGGGCCGAGACTGTGTTCAGCGCGGGGGGGAAAGGGGTGAGGGGGAAAAATTCGGGGTAAGTACACAGATTTTGATAGCAGGAGAACTTGAGGTCGGGGGGATTATCAAAGGCAAAACTGCCGGGACCACCTCCTGAGCAGAGGGGGCTGGACTTCTGAGCCGTGGATTAAGCTCCACCTCACAGCATTAATTTCAAACTGCGCGACCGTTTCTTACCTGCCCTGCGCTAAGGCGGGGGCTGGACTCAATTCCAAGAGAGGGGAATACGCGGGACTCGAGCCTTACGCAATTCACGGATGCTATTTACGCAAGTGACGTCAAGCACTAACCCTATCAATATGGGAGGGAGGAGTACGTACTTGGCGTAGGGAGGGCGTAGAGCGTTCCCGCCATTGGCGGCGGTTAGGGCGTTTACGCAACGGCCTGACGTAAAGACGCGTTAGTTGGGGGGAAGGTTCTAGAAAAGCGGCAGCAGCGGCTCTAGCGGCAGTAGCAGCAGCGCCGGCTTGCTGTGCGGAGGTTCTCCTAGCGGTGTTGTTTCTCCAGCGGCGGCAGTTCTCACTACAGCGCCAGGACGAGTCCGGTTCGTGTTCGACCGCGGAGATCTCTCTCATCTCGCTCGGCTGCGGGAAATCGGGCTGAAGCGACTGAGTCCGCGATGGAGGTAACGGGTTTGAAATCAATGAGTTATTGGAGAGGGCATGGCGAGGCCGTTGGCGCCTCAGTGGAAGTCGGCCACCCGCCTCGTGGGAGAGCGGCAATGAAATTAGGCCAATGAAATTAGAAGCGGTCGGTCTCGGGGGATTTTTTGAAGAGGGCCCGGGTCGTCAGCGGAGGCCTGTTCATACAGCAGCTTCTCCACCCTGAGCCTCCCGGCGCCATTTCCCTTTGCTGGGGGTGGGGGATGGGGATCTTCCACATGGCGGCTGCTGCCCCGCTTGAGTGAAAGTGGGGCGCGGAGGCGGGAATTCCTATTTTCTTTTTAAAGCCGGCTGGTTTGGGGGCCCCCGCGTCCCCGCGTGTGAGCGTTTCGGCGGGCTTCGGGTCCCCGGGAGCGAGGCTGCGGAGCTTCCCCTCCCCCTCTCCAGGGAACCGGATTTGGCGGCCGCCATTTTCATTACTCTCCTTCCTCGCCGCGTTTTTCTTTTAACTGACTGAAACCTGCTAGTTTGACTTCTCTATCAAAGAGTAGAAGTGGTTAGCTTTCTTTTTTTCTTCTTGGGCTGATTTCATGCTGTTTTGAGGAGGATTCCGAGTGGTTTATGAGCTTGGATCTTTAAAAGCCCTGCGCACCTCATGAGCGGCGCTCTCCTTCCCCCTCGATGAAATGGCGCCATTGCGTTCAGAAGCCACAGCGAAGAGCGGGCGGGCGGGGGGGAGGGGAGGGACGACGACATGCTTGGTTCGCCTGGCTTTAGAGGCGGTAAAGCGACCTCTAGGGTCTGGGGGCAGTTTTAAGGCGAGCCAGAGTACAAAGAAAATATTTTATTTTCCAACCCTTGTTTTTTTGTGTAACGGTTTTTTTTACCTGGGTCTGCGGTGACTAAAAAGGCAGTTGTCTCGCAGTAAAGTTTAGAAATAAAAAATCAAAATTTGGAGCTATCAAACTAGTTATGACCATGTGGGTGGCAGTGGGGAAGGAGGTTATGGGAGTATTCGTTTCAGAATTCTTTATTTTTTTGAAGGTTTCTTTTTTTGTAGAGTTTTTTTCGTATCTTAAGTAATCTTAATGGAAATTTTAATTTTACTGGTAAAGGCCGCGCGGAATGATTGGGTAGAAATTGAAGCAAGTGAAATAAAAATAACTTTATCCTTAGACTTGTTTGAAACGGCTGTCCTTCACTGCGTGTTTTGTTATATACAACATTGCTTTGGAGTGGGCCTCAGTGTATTTGACTTGCTGTTCTCATTTATGTCTATAATCATGGTTGATCATTACGTTGATAAGAATAAGGGCTCAAGCGAAGGGGGTCTACCTGGGTATTTTCTTTGACCGTTAAAGCACGCTTATAAAATAACTTTGTAATCGATAGTGGACATCGGGTAAGTTTGGAGATGAGGTAAGTAATGAGTTTTTGCCTTTTGTTAGTGACTTGGTAGAAACTGTTGTAGTTGTACTTTCTAAAATCTTTCATTTGGGTTTTAAAAGACTATTTACCAACTATACAGCATGAAGAAGCAGTCCCAATACCAATATGCCAAGTAATAACCATTTTGTTAGATTGTTATCAGGAGCAAGTTTGATAATTTGTTAACCTAAATTTTTTCAGATTCCTGAAAACAGTTAATCATGCAAAAAGTCTCTGAACTGCTTTTTACCTCTTTTATAAGGTCGAACATATCGTGATTGGGAGGACAAACCTTAGAATGGGTTGAGAGCTGTAATGCTATTTGCTGGGAATAAAATTTTGTGTGTATCAAAAATTACACTTAATCTTTTAATTTGTATTATACATTTATAGCAGTTGGTTCTGGACTTTAGACCTATTTTTGTTTCTGAATATTTTTAATTTTTAACCTAGTCTTCTGAAAACCAAGTATAATGACCAATCCTTTAACTTGACAGCTCCAAATACAGGACTGGTAGTGAGCATATTAATGCAGCATATTTGCTCGTTGGTTTATTAGGGATTAAAAGATTTCGGCCCAGGCTTGTTCCTTTTTCCTTGTAAAATTAGACACTTATGCTGTATAGTTTTGCGGGACGGCCATTAAGTTCAATACATTTGAGCATTTTTTTCTATTTAACGAATTGGTGAAATGTAAATGTAGTCAGTGGTCATTTAAACATTTTTTATGGTTTTTGAAAAGTGAGATGATTACAGTGAGTGTATTTTACTGGTTTCATGGTTGTTACCCCCAATCAGTTTATGTATTGTTGACCTAAATATCAAAATCGAGAATGCCCACAAAAAACATTAAGACTTTTTAAAAGATTTAGATAAGCTTTAGTTGGTCATAGAAATGAGTCGGTCTGGGTCAGAATGGAGGCAAAATTTAAAGACTATTGATACATATGTTGACTGAATTTTTACTCGTTGTGAGTAGCGTTTTGGTATATGGGGGGAGAACATTCCTTACCTAGGTGTTGATTGCGATATACTAGAACCTCCACCAGAGGGAGCAATGAAGGGAAAGAAATCTGTCACTTTTCAGAAACTGGACTGTAAAACTAAGGATTATAAGTAATTTATAATGTAAAAATTTACCAGCAATTTATATATTAAAAGTATTTAAACTGGATATTTAAAAGTTAACTTTTCTGTTCTAGGATATAGAATTGAATGCAAATTCTGATAATCCTTTAAACCTTCAGTGACCAGGGAATAGATTTGCTTTCTCTTTAGAAAGCTTTTTAAATTAAGAAGTATTAAATTTATTTGAAATGTCAAGTAGGTTTAGAATCAAGTATTGATGACTTTGAAACGTGTGTAGTTCATCTGAGGCAATTTTTTGGTGTAACACAACTAATATACAGTTTAACATATGGTTTAAATTTGATGTAAGTTTTTTTCTTCCCTCCAGAAAACTTTAGAAACTGTTCCTTTGGAGAGGAAAAAGGTACTCTGCCAGCAGGTCACCTTATATTTAAGAATTTAATTTCCTGCATACAAAGAGAAAATGTAAATAAAAATTGAAATGGTGTTTTCCTTTGCAGAGAGAAAAGGAACAGTTTCGTAAACTCTTTATTGGTGGCTTGAGCTTTGAAACCACAGAAGAAAGTTTGAGGAACTACTACGAGCAATGGGGGAAACTTACAGACTGTGTGGTATGTTAAATATAAAAATGTCTACAGATAATATTCTTTCAAGTGATGGTCTTTGTTTAAAACCTTGTGACTCCTGGAGAAAATCACTTTAAAATTCATGTTCATTGTAAATGCTATTCATGTTCTTAGTTCAAAGTGCAAGTAATTAGATTAAATGCTAAAGTTTCCCCTTTGATTTTAAAGGTAATGAGAGATCCTGCAAGCAAAAGATCGAGAGGATTTGGTTTTGTAACTTTTTCATCCATGGCTGAGGTCGATGCTGCCATGGCTGCAAGACCTCATTCGATTGATGGGAGAGTGGTTGAGCCAAAACGTGCTGTTGCAAGAGAGGTGAGCATAATATAACTTTGTATAATAAACGAAAATTTTTTTTGTTCCATCAAAGATTAGCGTGTAATTTTTGAAAGAACTTACTTAGTTCTTTCTAACGTGAGGTTTTTTCCTTACAAAGCTATGGTGGGTTTCTGTAGTTTTTCCTAGACTAATTTATTGTTCGAAAGACTGGGTTCTTACTTATAAGCTATTGTTTCACCTGGTATTTTATTGTATAGAAGCCATTTATGGTATATAGAAATAGTGTGCTTTCGATCATTTGTGGTTTTTTCTGTTGGGATAACTTTTCTCCCTCCCACTGCTACAGGAATCTGGAAAGCCAGGGGCTCATGTAACTGTGAAGAAGCTGTTTGTTGGTGGGATTAAAGAAGATACTGAGGAACATCATTTTAAAGATTACTTTGAGGAATATGGAAAAATTGATACCATTGAGATTATTACTGATAGGCAGTCTGGAAAGAAAAGAGGCTTTGGATTTGTTACTTTTGATGACCATGATCCTGTGGATAAGATTGTGTGTAAGTGTCTAAGCACGGGGTGTGTGGCTCTTTCTTAGATTAACATTTAAGTATGTTTACACTTGTAATTTTATTAAAAGGTAAACTTTGTAAGTTATAATTTAGAATACTGCTTTAATGAAGTCTGAACTTTTTCATTACAGTGCAGAAATACCATACCATCAATGGTCACAATGCAGAAGTAAGAAAGGCTTTGTCTAGACAAGAGATGCAGGAAGTTCAAAGTTCTAGAAGTGGAAGAGGAGGTAACTTTCATTTTATTTATTCTTAAAATTTATTTGTGTAAGTGTTTTATATTAACAGGGCATTTATTTTAGGCAACTTCGGTTTTGGAGATTCTCGTGGTGGCGGTGGAAATTTTGGACCAGGACCAGGAAGTAACTTTAGAGGAGGATCTGGTGAGTTCAGAGTTCAAGTTCTGAATGTTAGAACTGTGAATGTTCTTTGATTAAAAGCTGTGATTCATATTTAATTAGAATTAGGAACTCCAACCTAATTTTAAGAAGTTATTCGTAAGACTTTAGGTTATATTCTGATGGGTTATTTTGATTTGGTTAGGCAAGAGGTAATAGTTAAAAACAACCAATAATTAAGCAAGGACAATCACTTGGAGATATTCTTTTATGTTTTCTCTTTTTCAAAAAGTTAGTCAGGTTGCAACCACTTAAACTGTGAAGTACTGAATAATGAATGAACCCAGATGCCTTACTTATGACTTTAAAAGGTCTAAGTCTTAAATTTTTTAAGTTTCAGTTGATATTTGAAGTAATAAGGTGCCAACTGATGAACTTGGGCCGCTATTCGTTATTCATGTGTTTCATATGTGCAGATAAATGCAGTCTTTTAAATTGAGGCTTGCCAAGTCTAAATCCCCAAGTTAGGCCAGCTATGTTAATAGATTTAATTACACACTAGTGTGTGTTTATCTATGAGAATAAAGTAACACCAGTGTCAGCATAAAGGGAGATGGTGCCTAATAATCATCTATAGATACTAATAGAGAATGTGGTGGAAAGGAAGATTAATGGAATAGGGTGAACAGTGTATAATCATAATCTTATTTTTCTTGTTCCTAACAGATGGCTATGGAAGTGGTCGTGGATTTGGGGATGGCTATAATGGGTATGGAGGAGGACCTGGAGGTCAGTTTCTACAGTTGGTTTACATGACTTAAAAGATTTAATCATTTGTATGTTTGTCCAATTTAACGTTTACGTGAATTTTTTCTTAGCATTTTACATTTTACTCTTTGTAAAGAGCTAAGGTGGTGATAATATAGTTACTTGGTTTTTATCATTCACAGCTTTTATATAGCTTAGGAAGGAGAATATTTGTAGGTGTTCAGTATAGTTCGTAAAATCTTTGGTTGGATTTTAAATGAGAATTTAAAGATGCCATTGTAGTATCCTCTTTTTCAATCCTAAGAATTGGACATAAATATGTTAAAATTTTATTGTATCTTCCTGGAAAAGTTTGGAACACTGGATATGACTATGGTCAATATGTAAGGGGCATATATGTAAGAACAATTGTGTTGTCTTAGTCTTTAACAAGATGGATGTGTTTCCCAGAATAACTTCCCAAGAGTCACCAAAGGAACTTTCTCAAAATACGCAAGGGTGCTTTTCTGGATTTAGCTAAGGTTGAGAGAGCCACTGTTATATATACCTAGTGGTATATTTAGGTATGTGTTTTATTAGAATAAAGAAAAGGTTGATGTCTGCTGATAATTGTCAGACATTTAAAACTGAGCTAGCAATAGACCTAATTTTGCCACTCATTAAGCATAACTAAGGTACTTGTACATCTCACTTCCCAGTTTTGCTCTGAAATTCGAATATTTATTTTGTTTTATGAGAAAGATTAGTTCTTATAATGTGAGATTAACTACCAATATAAGTTTTTGAATTATCTGTAAGTTTGTTAATTTCAGGTCTCCCCCTCCCCATTTCTACTCAGGAGAAGGGTAGTAAGTATATTATTTAAGAGACATAATTTACAGGGAAACAGGAGCTGGGAATTTTAATCTTCTGGACCAGTAAGGAGGATATGGTGGTTCTACTTTGTTGCATTATCTTATACCTTATTCGCCCTCACACTCTTAACAAAACATAAATAGTATTTTCAGGATGCCATCAAGGGAACTCTTAATATCTTAAGTTTTAGAGTAGAGCTGTGACATTATGGGTATTTCTATAAAGGTTTTACCAGTTGGTTGTGGGTAGGTATTCCCCACCCCTAAATGTTTGAGGGATATTCTGTTCTGCCCTTGAGGCTATTAGAGATTTCATAGAACAAATATTTTACTTGTAAAAAATGTGTTTTGGAAAGCTGGAATTGGGTGTAATAAGACAGTTCAAATGGCATTGAAAATATTAAGTAATTACTTAAAGGCTTATTTTATAATAGGTGGCAATTTTGGAGGTAGCCCTGGTTATGGAGGAGGAAGAGGAGGATATGGTGGTGGAGGACCTGGATATGGCAACCAGGGTGGGGGCTACGGAGGTGGTTATGACAACTATGGAGGAGGTAATAAATTCACCTGCAACCTTTATGTGGGAATTTGGAGTGGAATTAATGACTTTTAACAAATTTTTTTCATTTCAATGTCAGTAGTTGCCTTAATCATAGAATTGTAGATAGGCGTTTTGCATTTATTCTCATTTGTTTTTGTGGGAAATTTGTCCTAAATATTTAGCATGTATCTCTGGTTTAATGTTTGATTATTCTGAGGTTTGTTATGCAAAACGCATATTTCAATTTTTTTTTACAGGAAATTATGGAAGTGGAAATTATAATGATTTTGGAAATTACAACCAGCAACCTTCTAACTATGGGCCAATGAAGAGTGGAAATTTTGGTGGTAGCAGGAACATGGGAGGACCATATGGTGGAGGTAATTGGTTAGATTTCTCAATTTTGTGTAATTGAAAGAGAAAAGGATTAGTCAATTTGAAATGGAAGAGAACGTGCTGGTTGTTTGATAATATTTCCATCATATATAGGGTTACTGAAAAAGTTTTTGTCAAAATATTTCAATTATAATTCAGCTTTTGAGTGCTTGGTGTGATGGATGGTGGGATAGCGTGGTGTAAAACAGGAGTTGGGAAAGCAGTTTAGGTATTTCACATGGGGAGGTCTTTTTTTCCGGCTATTTAAGAGTCAGTTGCTGAGCGCATTGCAAAGTGGTGTATAAACTTGAGTTGCCTTTGAAAGTTAATTTAGTTAAATAATCTTCGTTCAAACTATTTTTTATTGAGAAAGTTTTTACTAGGACTAAATAGATTTCTTATGCTTCCAGTTACTGTTTTTAATTCCTTAACTCTGATTCCCCAAAACCCTTTAAAAGAATGGCATTAGGAAAATGTTTTCAAATTTAAAAAAAAATTATCTATGAATCTGGATAGTTTATTTCCCAAGTTAATTAGGGTAATTAGGAATAGTGGGTAGGATCTTAAAGAGTATATGGGTATACAGTATGATCAGCTATAGCATTAGGCTAATCATGAGAAATCAAAGTAAGTTTGCTTTGTCTTTTTACATTTTAGGAAACTATGGTCCTGGAGGAAGTGGAGGAAGTGGGGGTTATGGAGGGAGAAGCCGATATTAAGCTTCTTCCTATTTGCCATGGGTAAGTACTTTTAAGTTTACATTATTATTACCTTGGGGAGACCTAGCGGCCAGGAGTAAAAGCTTTTTAGGATCATGTTATCTTTCCTTAAAATCTGGTTAGATGGATAATTTCATAACCTATTTTTTTTTTACTCTTTACTTCTGTTGAAACAGGCTTCACTGTATAAATAGGAGAGGATGAGAGCCCAGAGGTAACAGAACAGCTTCAGGTTATCGAAATAACAATGTTAAGGAAACTCTTATCTCAGTCATGCATAAGTATGCAGTGATATGGCAGAAGACACCAGAGCAGATGCAGAGAGCCATTTTGTGAATGGATTGGATTATTTAATAACATTACCTTACTGTGGAGGAAGGATTGTAAAAAATGCCTTTGAGACAGTTTCTTAGCTTTTTAATTGTTGTTTCTTTCTAGTGGTCTTTGTAAGAGTGTAGAAGCATTCCTTCTTTGATAATGTTAAATTTGTAAGTTTCAGGTGACATGTGAAACCTTTTTTAAGATTTTTCTCAAAGTTTTGAAAAGCTATTAGCCAGGATCATGGTGTAATAAGACATAACGTTTTCCTTTAAAAATTTAAGTGCGTGTGTAGAGTTAAGAAGCTGTTGTACATTTATGATTTAATAAAATAATTCTAAAGGAAATTGTGTAATTATAGACTTTTTATTTTAAATAAGTTAAGGAGTGGGTAGTATAATTAAGGTCCATTGCAAAGCTGTTATATTTGTGTAAGATAAATGCTGGTCAGATGTAAGTGTGTTGTCTGCAATTCATCAGGATTAAATTATCTAGATAACTTAAGGGATATCTCTGCAAGGAGAAACACCTTTTTAGATCTTTTAGATGCTGCTTCTTCAATGCAAGGAAAGGAAATAACCCCAGCGAGGTACTCTTCAGGGATACAGGTCTAGTACAAGAAAACTTGACGGCTACTAAGTTCAGCCAGTCTTAAAAAACTGTGCTGTTTCTACAAAGCTTTAACTACAGTAGTTTATAAGGATGCCAACGAAAGCTGAGGGTGTAGAGCAAAATAGTTCTAAGCTTCAGTTAAACTTCTTTAGGTAAGATCTCATTTACTTTTTCTTTCTTAATTTTCCTCCCCAAAAGATAAAACTAATACTCTTCAATGGTCTTCCAGTATAGTGGTTCTTATGTAGTTTAACATAGCTGTAAAATTGAGTTTAACAATTTATAAACTCAAGAGAATAATTTTATACACCCTTGTTTTCCAATCTGTCATTTAAATTATTTTGGTTGTTTTTTCCCTTTTTCCTTCTTTCCCACCCCCTCCCCCTCTATGAAGATTCAGGTGCTTAACATATCATTTTTTTCCCTGCTGGAATTTTAGCATTGATATGAACCGTGGACAAGTATATTCTGCTGCCATAAAGACTGTAAAGTGCTTCATTTCAACAGCTGAGGCAAGCCAAGTGATCATTAATAAAGCTTTTCTTGGTTCCTTCAGTGGTGTTGGTAGTAAAATGGTAGGTAAAAGTTAGGCTGCAAGTTCAATAAATCATGAAATTTCCCATCGTTACACTCTTGTGTATTCACATTTCTTGGTTCAAGCATTTTGAAGTGAACTGGGGGTTTTATTAATAACGACATTTTGTTCTTTGATATGGTTTTAGCTTTACATGATTATCAGGATCAGGCTAAGGAGAAGGTAGGGAAAAATGGTTGAATATATTTTCAGACAGGCTTATACTTCCGAATAAAGTGTCAGTCTACATTATGAATTCTCTTATGTATATATATTCAGTATTAAATACATGGGTATACATGTGGTAATTCCTTCCCAGTTCCCTACCTTATAGGAGAGATTTAGGTTGGCTGCTGAAATTCATTTCTTAATATCATCAGTTTGATTGCCGGGCTTTATTGCCTTTTCAGGAATGTGATAATCAGGGCATATTCTACTGTATACACCAGTGAGTCTTCTTTGATCCTAAGACCACCACTGAAGTTATTTAGGATTTTTGGACAAACATGATAAACTTCTTCAGATACTTTTTTTTTCCTTTGGCAGGAAGGTGTCTTGCTGCAGGTAACTAATGAAGAAGTGGTCAACCACAGAGTCTTCAAGAAATAAGAAATTCTGTACCATCTGAAAATAGTTCTTGGTGCCTTCATTTAAAAAGCACTCTTTAAGATTAAAGGGAAACGTTTTCTGATAAAAAAAAAAGTCATTTAGTACAGGTTCTTGATATAAAACAATTACAAGTATTGTTTGTGAAAGTTACATCATCAGATAAATGTATCATGTTTTAAATTAGGTTTTGTGAGTAGACAGATCAAAATTCTATTTTAAATACTAAGTTTATAAAATAAATACTTTTGTATCCAAATACTTGGTGTAATGTTTACACATAAAATGTGTGAATCTTGTACTACAAACATTCAGTTGTCTAAAGGATTGCCATCCCCTAGATATATAAAGCAGTTTCACAAAGCTGTGCATATTGCCATTTTCCAATTTTGAGAGATGAGAAAAGCATTGTGGACATTATTGGCAGTCCCTAATAAAAAATGCCATTCTTTATACACTGTATATTCAGCGTTTGAATACTGCTATAGTTTTCTGGCTTTACATTCTATGTTGAATATTGCTGGTGGCGTGTTTAAACATTAATGGATTGTAACCAGCTAAGTGGTCCAAATTAAGTGGGTATGCAAACGCACGAGATAACCTGTCATTCTAGTTTCTCAGTGGTCAATTCTCTTGTATTATACACTGCGTGTCTGGCTTTTTAAAGGGTTAAGTATGATGGATAAAATTTAACGGTGACTTACTTGGCCATTTACCTGAAATAATGAAAACATGAACAACATGATATAGTAAAGGTTGATTTGTTTTACCTACAATTTCTTTTGGTTTTGATATGAGGTATGTCACAGGTAAGTCAAACTAATGGCTAACAGAAGATGAGCTAATAGCTGTATCCATCTAACGCATGTGAGACTACTGGCTTCAAAAAGTACCTAGCTCTACAAATAAAATTAACTTTGAACAAGGTAAATCAACATGGTAAAATCTGAAAGTATGTCATTCTTACACAGCCCAAGTAGGGAAAATTTTCATCTGGTAATGGTGAAACATATTACCTGTGTATTGCTGTTGATTTTCATCTTGAGGTTTAAGGTACTTTTTGTATGACCCTACACTGTTATAAAAGGAATAACTTTGAATACAGGACGCTTCTTATGTTTTCATCTCAAGCTTTACCCTTATTGCTGTGTAACACATTATCAGCAGTTTTAGACCAACAGTAAATTTGCGCCCTCAGTATTTGTGGTTCAAGTTTAAAGCAGTTTAGCTGTGTAATTCTGGCTGAAGCTCAGGATAGATGGCAGGTAACTTGACCACGACTGGAAAATTTACATCCAAAATGGTAGCTGACAGGGTTGGCAAGTTCATTTTGGCTATTTCCATACCCTATAGGTGATCTATCCAAGAAGCCCCCAAATATGGCTTGTTTGGAAGTCACACTATATGGGGTGATGTTGTATGATGACCAAGAGGCAAGCATCGTTGGGGGCTGGTTCTCACATTTTTTCTTACGAAAACTTGATTTATTGCCATGTAAGGTTTTCAGTAACCCAGTGTGGTGTAAATACGTTAGGTTGGCCTGTAAAGGTGATCCTAACAATTTTGTACTAAATGTTTCAATTATCGAGCTAATTTTAGTAATTAGGGAGACTTTAACCGTGCCTCACTTGGTTCAAAAATGGGCAATGACTTCGGAAGATAAACACTAATCTCGGAATACCTAAAAAAAATGACATTCCTAATTTAATGTTGCCAGATAGTTGATAAACCTCATAAAATACTGTCACCACTATTTAGTACTTGTGTTTAATAGCTTTTTGCTAAATAGTTAAACTGGTGTGGTAAGTGGATTAACCAAGAAAGCAAAAGGATGATTCAGCCATATAAAGATGGGTATATCTGCTACCATGAACACAGGCTGACATTTTTTGTTGGGAAGGTTTGCTTCAATCCGGAAATCGGGCTACTATAGGTCGGTGCTGAACTGGATTTGGCTTTGAAAGAACCACATGTTTAGCCTGTCAGAGATCCTGGGCCATATCTTTTTCAACACATTTTACATTGGAGTAAGTTAAGGAATAATTTCCTATAGTTAACAGGAAGTTAATAGTCATGTTGAGAAAAATTATAAATGGAATTTTAGGTTTGGGCCAGTCCACTGGGAAATTCAGAAGAGGAAAAGGTGCCTCAGGGAGGCCAAGGACTAACTGCAAATAGCTGTGTAAGAGCAAACGAATCTTAATGGTCTAGTTTTTAATGGTCCCTTTGTTTTTAGACTTTGTTCCAAATACTTGGGAATACATTTCGTTATGTGGTTACTTTTCCCATAAACCATGTGCTGATTTCTCAGCTCATCTTAATTGCTTATTCATGTTTATAGGGGTTTTTTTGGCGAGGCAACCCTTGGTTGACCTCTCAGATTGCAAGGACCTTGTCAGTTTACAGTCCCTTTACACCTACAGCACGTGGTCTTAGGTGGTCTCCCATCCAAGTGCTGACCAGGCCCAGACCTGCTTAGCTTCCGGGATCAGATGGGATCGGGCTTGTTCAGGGTGGCATGGCTGTAGGTTCTATGTTCAGATTAATTGAAGTCTGGTTTAACTATTAAGGAATGGGCCAGATAAATGAAAAGCTTGGTTCAGCAAATGGTAAAATATATACAGCTTCAATCAGAGCTTGGCCTCTGAAAATTACTAAAACCTGCAGATGAACAGACCAGATTTCTTACCTAGATTCCAGGATAACCTGCATGTTAAGACTGAGCTAGTAAAACAGTTTAGTCAGCCTTTGTGTATGTTTCTTAAGAGTCCAGACTCAAACCTTGAGATTTCCATCGCTAAGATTGAATTATCAGTGACAGAGTAGGCAGCTTAAATTTGACCCATTCTGAATCCAGTTTCATTTTTGTTAGGAAACTATAGGTTTGACTCATTGGTCTTTGGTTACGGTGCACCAAACACCTTCCAGGCCTAAACTGTTCATTTGTGAACTTCAGTCCCAGCTCTCCAGGTACTTCTTTCCCCTTGTCAGTTTGATGATTGCATTTCATTGCGGTCTTTATTTTCAAGGGTTTGTGGAGCTGACAAGTAGGCAGTCAATAATTGAGCAAGGCTACTAGCAGTTTTGAATCCTACAAGTAAATCGATACTTTATGTTGTACACTTGAAGTAATTTGTGGTAAGGTGCCTCAGAGTTGTAATCTACCAAAAGTTAAGATATTCAACAGATGTAAATGATCATTGCACAAAACCGGTCAGAGTGTATCTAGAAGCACTTGGTGGCAAAATTTGTAGCTTGAAAGAAATGCCAGGGCCCAATTTAAAATGGAGGAAAAGGTTTATTATAAAAATCCACTCAAAATGCTGCATTTCGGTAACCCAAGATACTTTGACTTGTGATTTCTACATTGTTAAGCAAATAATTCTTAGGGAAGAAATAACACTCAATTTGAAATTATTCATGTTAACTCATTTTCATCTCAGTGCCATTTCCAGGATTTTTAAAGTTCATTTTCAAATCCACTTGTTTCTTACCATACAGTTTCATATGATTTCAGGATTTCCGGTCCTTTGGTTATAGAGTCTATGCTTATCTAGTGAAATTACTGTTGGTTTGTGTTCTTGTACGGCTTGTAATGTTTTCACATTAAGCTGCATGAGGGTTTTTGGTGAGACGAGAGTTACGGATGTGAGGCCATCCTTACAGGCTGGCTTTATGTGGCCATGAGTTCTATTTCCCTGTGCACAGGTAGCTCTTCTCCAAAACCTGTGATTATAGGTCTTTGTTCTCAGCCATTAAAGCCTAATACACTCTTAATATTTTAAAGCTTCATTCTTTTGTTTTTGGCACCTTAGTTTAGAGCTCGGCCATTTAGTGTATTTCATATAGTATTAAGTTGAATCCAAAGGGGGGTTTTCCTTACCAGTCTAACATACTGTGTTGACTCCAATTCGGTTTGATCGAACATGCTATCAGCTGTATTCCTGAATGGTATTTTGGAGGGAAAATATCCAAGGTAGATTATTTTAACTTATAAGTTCAAATATAAAATTTATTTTCACAGAAGCTATAACTTAAGTATTCATAAAAATTAAAATAGCTTTTAAAAATTCACTATATGTATACTCAGTGCTAACAAACTAAATGAGATTAAGGCTACTTTAGATTGAAATACACATTTTAACATAATTACATCCGTCATTTGCTCTTGAAGTAACCATCTTATAAAAAAAAAATGGCAACCACAGTGGATAGTTAGACCAAGTTTTTCATGTCATCCTAGTCTTTATACATATTTATGACTTGTGCATATAATGCAGGATTTAATAAAAAGTGGCTTTCCCCAGATTTTCCACAAGTCTGATCTTGAAGTCTAAAACTTCTGTTCATATAAGCTTCAAAATATAGCCTTGACTTAACAGTGATTCAAGTAGTAGTACTTAAAAGGTACATATAATACTTAGGAGCTAACGGTGAAACAGTTTCATTGGTCTGTGATCCATCTGAACGTGACTATATACATATTAATGGGCCCCATCTTCAATTTCTTCTCTCCCTTTTTCCTTTTTGGTTTTCCTTTTTGTGGCCTGAGGTCACCAGTTCCTTGGGTATAATCAAAACACTTCCGTCATGGTTGCATTGAACAGCATATTGGTTTGGGTTGACTGGCCTACCTTCTTCATCTCTCAATCTACTAAAAATGTCATGATAAAGGTAATGCAGTTTCTGTTTCATTATGTTAATAGCTTTGTTACACTGGACTCGCTCTCTCTTGAGGGTTTCTTTCTTTGCTTTTAAGTTACATACATCATCTTCTAGGTTTAAAATTATGTCTAGTTTGCGCTTACGACAGTTCTGAGCAGCAACTTTATTCTTTCCTCTTCGTCTAATATCACGGATGAGTGACACTTGTAAGTCTGTCAGGTAGTACTTGCTTAGCATGCTATTGAAAGAATCAACAGGCATGCGGACAATTTCATCTACAGTAAAAGGGATGTGCAGAGCTTTAGCACGGCGTTCATCACGGCTTAAGTTTCTGTCTGTCTCATTGAAGCACCTACTCCTTATTTTCTGTGACTTCCCAGGCCATGAAAAAGATTCAGAAGTGGATTCTAGTGCACCTGGCTGTAAGTGGTAAGTGTGGTTATGGAGTATATGTTGAAATGCAAGGTCTCCATGAAAACCAGAGTCACTCCTGTGATCCACATGACAAAGCTTACTGGGCTCTGGGTAGTAGCCTCCTACAGCCCCTTCTAAGGCATGATGGGAAAGAGATTCAAGGTCATTGCTAGAACCAATAGCACCTTCACACACAGAGGAATTAGACTTGGTGACAGAAGTGCTATTCTGGCTTGAATTTAAGGAAAGCCCAGAATCAGAATCTGATTCTTCAAAAAGGTGAGAAAGTTCCATTGGATCAAAACCTTCAGTGGCCAAAGACATTAAGTTTATCTCATCAAATATGTTTATATCAAGGCCATATAGAAGGTCTTGGCTTGTTAGATTCCTCATCTGATGGTCAACAACTGGAAGAAATCCTGTCAGATTAGTTCCAGGAAGGGTCTGTTCAGGATTGGTATGAGAATTAAACTGCAGAAATGGTTCCTGTGGCTGTGAAGTCCTTGCTACTGGATCTCTTCTAAGTGTATTGTCAGGACACAACAATATGGCCTCATGGAGATTCACATCATGACTTATAGCCTGGCTAAAATTTACGTTATAATGTGCTGAAGAATTCATGCCCTCATTTATACTTCCCGGAAGAGGAGGAATATCTCCCAGTGAGATGCCCTGAGAAAGAAAGGGAAAACATTTTAATACACATAACCCAGTTTCAATAGCAATTCTAGTACCTTTTCTTTCCTCACTTTTGTCAAGTCCTCCAGAAACAGGGATACGCCTTTGGCTATGAATAGCTTTCCCTAATAAATACAAGCAACGCAACGTGGTGGTGGAAGGAAGCCAAATCAGAATGTGCTCTTGGGGTAAATTTTCCAACACGGCAATTTAGGAAACTTGATTATATTACTAAAAAAGGCTGGTCTTGTTATTAGATCATTCTACCGTTAACTATATTTTACTACTTTATAAGATGCAACTCACTCTAGCTGTTGACAATCCAAATCCATATTGTGGAGGATCATGGATAATAACAGCTGTAGTGAAGTAGTGTATGTGTGTGTGTGTGAGATCTTTTTAAGTAAATCAAGCCAAATAGTATAATGAAGACAAGACACAAATGCTGCCAAAAATGCTATGCCCTAGTTCATGTTTACTGCCATTTGATTCAATATGAATTAAATTTGATTATCCCTCTGTGTTTATTAAATAGAGGAAGAGTGTACACATTTGGCTAATTCTCCAAATTTGAAGTATTCCTATAAAAAGTAATACTAAGTCTGTTTACTAATATGTGATAGCTATTACATAAGTATTTAAACTGTAATCTATGTAAAAAGGTTATATTTATTCAGAAAGGTCAGTGCAGGTATTTTCCTGCAGGAATAAAAGCCAAAGTTCCAGATACCTCTAGTGAATTTTCAGGCTGTGATGAAAGCAACTGAAATAAGTCCTCCAGAGAGAAAGATGTGCCTGTCCCATTTAGATGTCTCTGTAGAAAAACAAAAGGTATGTCATTCATTTAAAAGACTGAAGTGGTTGCTTGGGGCTTTGTTTTATCTTGGAGGGATAACAGGGTCCCCAAGCCAGGTAAAACCCTCTTGCAATTTTTACATCCCTCTTTTAGTAGTCAATATTTTAATGCCCTTCCTTAAATAAGAACTTTCAATTCTTCCCCTATTTCTGCCTTAACCATCTTACTTTTTGGCTAGTATATCGTTAGTTCAGCCTTATTTTGCCCCTCCATAGCCAACCCTTTAAGTCTGCTACAAATTTATGTAATTTTACATTCAAATATGTATTTAGATTTATTAACTTATGCTTCATCTGCCTTCAGGGATTAGTTCCATTTCCTATTGCCATAACTTATTTGATAGTTCTTTTTAGAGAGGCTCCTCAAGCAGTAAATTTTTAATTTTTAAAACCTGGAATTATTTTGCCATCATGTGTAAATGAAAGTTTATCTGGTAAGATTATCAGGTATATGTTTTCCCTCAGTACTTCATGCTATGGCATTTTTTTCACTATTGATGTATTTGCAAGCTGTCATTTTATAGCCAATCTTTTTCTTAGGTAATTTTAAAGATTTTTCTCTTAGTCTTTGTTGTCTTGCCATTTCACTTTGATATGTCTGAGACTTTGCATTTAGCCTGCTTGGGCCTCTGAGTGTTCCTTCAATCTGAGCTGTAAGATCTTTTTAATTTTGGAAATATTTTGCCATAAACTCTTTGAATACCGCTTCTCCTTCACATTTTGTAGTCTCTCTTGGGACTATTAGAAATTAAATTTTCTCATTCTACCACTCAATTTCTTTTATAATTTAATGGTGAGCTCATCTTTGTGGAGAGCTATTAGCATATGAATCCCATATATCAAGGGGTACCAAATAACTATAAGGCAGTTTTGTGTTTTTCTTTGCAAGGGGCACTTTTTATTTCATTTTCTAAACTTTGTTTTCTTGGCTCAGCATTCCTGACGGTAATAGTAGTGTGGATTCAGAGTGTGTATTTGCCTTTGGAGCCCATTTGGGGTTCTGTTTTCTAAAGGATCGCCAGACAACTTCCTTGTTCTGTCTCCTATCTATTGGCTAGGATTGTCCTAGTCCCCATTTCCCAAATCAAAAGCCTTTTTAAACAGGGGACTCAGGTGTCCCATGTATGGGCCAGAGACCTCATTTCCCATCCATCCACTCCCAGTCTCAGTCATGACATCTGGCCTCCTTGGAGCCCTTCAGTTTTGGCACCTGATTACTTTAAATTGTGGGTTTGTGTCCCTCCAGGTTTCTCCTCGTTTATTATATCTGTAGCATTTCCCCTTCTTGCTTTTGAGTTCTGCTGTGTACTTAAAAATATTATCCATTATATTTTATCCAGGATTACTGTTTTTGGTGTGGCATGGGGGTCATTTTTACATATGTTCACATTCCTGACTTGTGCTATGCCATCACTCCCACCTCTGACTTTTTACTTTAGGATTTTTTTTTTTTGAAGATTGACCAGCTGGACAGAAGAGCAGGTGTGTACAAATACTTGGTTTCCTTTTCTGCCAAATGCCTTGGATTGTATGAAGCTAGGTTTTCAAGATAGTTCATTGTAAATACAAAGCTTTCTGGGTCTATTTCTATGGGTACTATTGGATTATGTAAGCTAAACTGGTGGATAAGGTTTCTTGTTCTTTAACTGGCAAATTACACATTCTTAAATGGATAGCGGACTTCTTTGCCAGTTGGATTATTTGAAATGGTTTCCTTATTTCTGAGGAAATTTCAGAAGTGTTCAATTCTTTTAAAAGCCTCAAACTTGACTGTAATTGTGTGAGAATGGATGACATCTGCACAAATCTGGATTCCTGAAAAAATAATCCTTAATGGTGGATAAATAACATTATTTGCAGAAAAGCCTTACTATTAAGAATAAAGAAGAGTATGAGGATAATTCTGCTTAAAATGAATTATGGACTGACCTATCCCTCCAGGCTCTCAAAAGTGTTTCATTAAACCTTTTGCCTGTTCCCTCTTGTTCAGTGCCTCTGGAGTGTGTGGGCTGAGGGGCTAACCCCTACCGACCCAGCCCTGTGCTTGGGTCCACTGGAGACAGGCAGGAGGTGGAGCAGCAGCAGAGTCCCTTAGGGACAGCAGCTTCTGAGTCTCTCATCAATTCCAGCTCTCACTGAGCATTTTTTCCCCCCCAGGTCCCCTTCTGTCCTGATGTTGGTAATGGCTTCATGCTATTGCTAGTCCTTGAGAGTGTCCCTTTTCCTTGGTGTTTCCTTTAAACCTACCCTCACCTGTGTTAACAAAAAAATACCCTCATTCTCTTCAGAATCTCATTGGCCTGTACCATCTGAGGGCCTTAACTGTGGAAAGCATTCTGTTTGAAGTCACTGCAACAGAGTGCTGTCTACCTCACTTAAGAAATTATACAAAATAATTTTTGAGACACAGAACTCGGTTCATCCACTTCTAAATCTAATTCATTTTTTCTGTTTGCTAGGTACAGATCTTGCATGAAAATGGGCAGACAACCCAGCCATTATTACAATAAGTTCGATTTAGATTGCCATGAAGTCAGTTTCTTTAATTCTCCTTCTTAAATCTCAAAATGCGAACACACAGTTCTATTTGGGGTCAAGAATTCATTGCATTTTGAACAGAGATCACTAGGAGTATCCAAAGAATATGGTGGACACAATTAACTTTATAAGACATGTTTTAAAAGATTAAACATTAATATAAACTCAACCTATCTTTAGAATAAAATCTCTTCAGACCTGCTGACCCACATACACTATTTACTCCTCATCAACAGCCAACAGTCTTAAGTCTGGGCCTGCAGTGGGGCTAAAAACAAGTCACTTGTTAAGTAGCAAATTATATCAGTTGTCCTAGTTATCATCCAAAAGAATGGAAATAAATGCCAGTAATTCACTTGATCAGACAACTCATTACTGTTTTATTTCAACAAACTAAGAACGCCTAGTAAGTGACATCTCAGTAAAAGAGTAGATGACTCTATGGCCATGCCACCCTGAACAAGCCCGAGCCCGTCTGATCTCAGAAGCTAAGCAGGGTCGGGCCTGGTTAGTACTTGGATGGGTTAGTACTAGGAAGACCAGGTGCTGTAGGCATAAAAAAAATAAAGGGATTATAAGCTAACAAGGGCCTTGCAATCTGTGAGGTCAACAACAAAAAGAGATGGATATAGTCAGAAGCTCCTATAAGAAATGTTGATTTGAAGTACACAAAAGCGTGTATAAATGCTAACTGAACAAGACAGGCCAGGAACAGAGGTACAAAATGAGCAAGCCTGATACTTAAGGACCAAGGCACAAATGCTTGCTTTGGGCAATGAATGTGTTTCTGGAAAGTTAATCTGGATGAAGATTATATTTTCCCAACTTCATCTACCTCCTCTTCATTAGTATTTAATGAGTACCTACTAAGTATCTAGGAGCGAGTTACTTCAGGTAATTCAAAGAAATAGAAAACACAGTTCTTGCTTTATTGGGAAGCCCAATGAGGGAGTAAAGGCAAAGGCTTACCCAGGAGGAAAATAAACCAATAGCATATATCTAAATATAATGAAGTGACAGGCTGTGATAAAAACATTTCTCCGAGGCACTCAGCAAAGTGGGCTGAAATGTCTTCAAAATACATGTTTTCCATTAGTACTAT